AAAAAAAAAAGACGTTTGCAAGTTGCCTAATTATAGAAGGTTGCAAGTTGCAAGTTGCAAAAATCGAAATTGAATTTCGTCTCTTTTGAAAAACCTTATCTGCTTTTTCCCTCCATCCTTTTTTTTGCAACAATCGAATTCGTCTCTTTTCCTTATCCGCTTCCCTCCATCTTCTTCATTGCTCGCTATAACCCGTAATTTGCCATCGCATCCCTTACATCATTTGCTGTGGTCAAACGGGCTAAGTAAGGCACTCCCGGCCAAACCTATCCCCACCACAGCCTCACAAGGTTACGAAAACCAATGATCCCAATCCCAACCCTAAAACAAAATTCACGTTCACTTAAAAAAAAAAAAAAAAAAAAAAAAAAAAGCGATTTCATTTAATTTGCCCGGCGTTTGACGGATAATAGCTGTGTTGCCCATTTGTTTGTGTGGTTTGTTCAGGGGTCGTGCGCAAGAAGCTGCTGTCATTGGCCTTACTCTCGGCACTTGCAATTACTTTTCTACAGCTCGAAGCGGAAGCCTGGTCGATGGCTCGTTTGTTGCTGGACTGGTCTCTGTTTGCTTGTGCAGGCTTGCTTTCCAAGGCATTTGTCATTCTTGTTCTCTTGCTCTGGAAGCCCGTTGCTTTAGTGTACTCTATATTACACTCGGTTTGTTCGTCGGTTGTTGGCATTGTCGCTCATCGACCATCGCTTATCACCATTTTTGACTCAACCCTTTCGTCCGTCTGGAGTTTGTGTACGGTAGGCCCCCTGTCGCTTTACGTTCTGTACGTGGTCTACATACTAGTGCACTGTATGGACGACCTGTGGTCGCATGACTCTATCTCATTGCTAGGCCTGCTATTTTACGTCTGTCTGCTTCCGCTTTTCCGTTTCTGGATCTTGCTACACCAGCTGTTCTTTTGACACTTGTGCAGTACAAACAATACTTTTTATAATACTTCATATATCATTGACCAAAAAAAAAAAAAAAAAAAAAAAAAAAAGCTTGTATCACACAGCCTTTCGTACTTTATTTTTCACTGCGCATCTACAACAGACCCCTTTTTTTATTTCAGAGGGAGGGATTTTAGGTCGTTGCACGCCAAACATGATTTGCTGGGGGGGGCACGGCCGCCTAGAAAGAAGTCTTATTGTTAGTCTGCGAAGTCGTGCGGACAGACAGACTTTTATTTTTTGACGGACGGACATTTGAAACGGTATCGATCCATTTATGTAATGGTGTATATAATATGGCTATAAGTGCCACAAATGACCACCCAGTTTTGGCAACCCTCTTTATTTTATTCGGAATCTGCATCGATGTGTGTTCACATCAACGACTCTGTGGAGATGACCTCCCCTGGTGGTGTGTGCAAGATAATTGCTCCTCCGTAAAAGCGTGTTAGTTCTTCTGATGAGGTCCTGTCAATCAATCACTCAATCACTCACTCAATCAATCAATCCATCAATCCATCAATATTTCAATCAATCAAATCAATCAATCCATCAATATTTCAATCAATCAATTCAATCAATTCAATCAAGTCAATCAAGTCAATCAAATCAATCAATCAAGTAAAGTCAATCAAATCAATCAAATCAATTCGCAGGAAGTGTGTGACCGGCACACACTTCCTTCACAGCAAGTGGATAAATCTACGAAGTAAAGTTTTGAACGGAAATGGAAACAGTAGCTGCCGTAACAGTTACTGCAGTTAATGTTCAGCAGTTAAGTGTTTAAGGTTTTTTTTTTTTTTTTTTTTTTTTAAATAAAAATTGGTTTCCTTTTAAGTATATTTTGCAAAAGGTTGAGGCCGGGGTCCTCACAGCTCAACCCAGGGTTTGATTATGAGTGTCTGCTCACCTCAGATCTCCTTTTTTTTTTAAATCTTATAAGTTATATAACCCTCTGTGCTCCTGTCAGCTTTTTTAACTATTGTATGAATTTTTATCATTTTTTTTTGTATGTAGTTACAGCTCACGAAACCAAAATCGAGACGGTAATTACAGTTTACGTTGAGGAACCACAATGAGGATTTAATTTCATGCACAGTACAGAACAGACAGTTTTGAAGCTATGGGACGCTGGACCCGGTTTCCAGCAGGTGCTGCTCCCCACCAATAGATGGAGCTTGTTTTTTGTTAAAAAAAAAAGAAAAAAAGAAAAAACAAAAGACAGTTTCGAAACAGGTAGCAGAACTTACCATAGGGTTTGAAACGGCAATAAACAGAGCAACTCCAGTTTACATTCAGGAGTTAAACCACCACCGCCACCTTTTCCCATGTGGGCCCCTGTCAGGGCCCCCAAATTTTTTTATTTTTTATTTTTTTTTTCCCTTAATCTTGAGGCCGAAACGAAACTAGGGCCGCCGATGAGATTTATCCACGGCGGCCGCGGCGGCTGTCATCGGGCCCAGCCTCCGATTTTTTTGGAGTAGGAGATTTTCCCGTTTTCCGAGCAGCAGGAAAGGTAGTGGTGGTTTAAGCTCACAGCCTCACACACAAACTGCAGAACATACAGTTCCGCGGCAGCTGGCGAGAACTTGATATATCACTAGAAGTAAAGAGTCTCTAAAGACTCTGCAGGTGGCGGTCCCACTAGAAGTCCAGTGAGCTCAGCGACTGTAGCCCTTGAGCTGGAGCAACTTCACATGTCTGTGGCTTTATGACCTGTGCAACTGATA